CCCCCCTGCTAGCCTCAGCAGTGAGCTAAAAAATGCCCCCTCACATTAGTGTCCTTGGAGGCAGGTTCCGTGTGGGGTTGGTTGGGGTTGCCAGTTATAAACTTTAAATACAATTTTATTTATAGATAATGCATTAGTTGTACTTCATGCTTACAATGTATGGCACTTGGTGAACATTAATTGTCTTTGCTAATCACCTCTGATGTGTTCGTTGCATGACTGTAATGCCTCGATTCTAGTATTCGGGTACGAAAAACTTCTTTACTAAGAGCACAATTACTTCAAAAACTAACAAAATACAACTTCTGAACACTATTTCTTACATTTCAAGGGAAAAATCTTATATATTTTTTACCTTGGAAAGCTGTCCCCACTATCTAAATCAAAGTTCAAGTTTTGCTTTTTATTACTTTAGGGCCAATAAGCATTTTTACGATCCATCGCTGCCACTTGCATCTGCTAACATAGGTCACCAGGTCACCTAGGATACATGCCTCCACACATCACAATCTATATCCTATTCAGTTCATGGTTTTGATTTTTGAAAATATGTTGTTAAAAAGGTAACTTTCCAAGGAATACATCTTTCTATATGATGGCATGCCATTCTTCGTATATTAACAAAAAGTTCTTTACCATCTTTTCAGATAACACTTCTTTGCTGTTGCTTTATGGAATTTTTTCTTGGCAATGTGACCCCTACCAGTGTACACCTGATCCGGATATAAATACTATTCTTACCAATCTTTCCCATGTGGAAATAATAAAAACCTGCAATTTTGCAGTGGAACTTTTCTTCTCTTCTTGGATATAGGCATATAGCTTTGATTTTTTCCCTCTTTATGTTATCTTCTGCGTCTTCTGTAGTTGTACTCTCTTATTTTTTGCTATTTCATGTTTTTTTCTCTTTGCTCTTTCTTTGTTCATCAACTCTTTGGTAGGCTATCTGCACATTGGACAGAAGTACACGATTTTTTTCCTTGATGTTAATAAACTTATTTTATACTAGTGAAAATTTGGAATTACATGATTGTGCATTTATTTATGCATGTGTGAAAAAGACGTGTCTCACGTCGTCGATAGGCTCCAGAGGATTTTTTGCCTTTCTCATTCCGTAACATTCTACATCTCACACATTTGTACAGGGTCCTGTAATGAATGGCTCGTTCTTTAAGCAAGTGAAGCACCATACCTGACAATATGCAGACTTTTAATATTTTGTTCTATGGTTTCTTTGACTCAATTTCTTTGTGCTTTTGCAGAATTGCCTGGATCAAGATGTGCCTGTTAGAGTTATTCGAGGCCATCAATCTAGTAGTAGTTATGTTGGCAAAGTTTACACATATGATGGCTTGTACAAGGTAGATACTGAGGGGGGGGGGACATTGTTGAGACCGAGTAATTAATGGTTGATGTCATTATTATCATGCCAACCGTATTGGTTTGTCCCATGACCTTGCCAAATATTTTCCAGGTTGTCAAACATTGGGCAGAGAAAGGGGTTTCTGGTTTTACGGTTTTCAAGTTTCAACTCAAGCGTATTGAAGGGCAACCTTCTTTGGTGACTGAACAGGTTCCAATGCTTGCTCATGGATCTTTCAAGAAGTCCATTCCTGAACACAATTATATCATTGATGTGAATATTTGTTAGTGTAGATTTACATAAGGATGGTAGATGTCACTACCTTTGTCCCAATACTACCGGATTTAGTTCACAAATGTGTTGAACCAAGTTTTAAAAAGTCATTTGCCGATTGGTAACCTACTTGTGCAATATATTTTCGTAGACATGTATGTATATTTGATGCAATCCCTTGGTGTCCTGGGCAACTCTAGTCCTGTGTGTGCCGTAACCTACATGTATAATCCCATATAACATTAGTGGACAAGTGCATTCATCATTTTGTTTTTTCACCCTAGACAGACGTGTATTCAAACCTTAGTTACTGTACTACCTGTATATGCTTTAATTTTTCTTTACATTATTGTCAGGTTCATTTTGCTCATGGGCGCATTCCAAGTTCAGTTTCTGAAATACGCGGGTATTAAGAGATGAACTTTAACACTCTTGAGTGTGTGTGCGTGTGTGTGTTTTGACATGGCTGATCCATTTTTTTCGATGTAAGGTTGGTATGCGAGGACATAAGTGGTGGCCTTGAGAATATTCCGATCCCAGCAACCAACCTGGTTGATGATCCAGCTGTTGCTCCGACTGGTAAGTTACATCGTCTCATTTAACTGTGAAACTTCTGTTAGAACATTTAGATCTGTTTGTTGTCCCAAATTTTCTTTTTCCCACATTTGGCAAGTGCATTGGTTTTAGTCTTATACTTCCTTCATCCCAAAATAAGTGTCCACCTTTCTATTCAAGTTTGTCACATTTTGAGTGTCTCATCTTCTTTTTAGAAGCAAAACTCGAATGGATAGAACAGATGGTCCAACTACATAATTTTTTATTTTTCATTACTTCAAATAAGTGTCTACTTTCAAACAGGGCCGGTCCTGGGGGTTTTCATGCCCTGGGCGAAAAAGCTGAAAAATGCCCAACAATATAAAAAACAAACAAAACATCAAGCAAGCAGTTCTTTCTCATGACGATTTTAATTAAATATAACAAAATAATACAACGTAGGACTTAAATAGAAACCTTGAACGACAAAACATAAACCTACATAATCTAAAACGATGTTTTTGTGCAACTTTTAAAAGAAAAAGCATCAATTATTCTATCATAGTACATGTTTGCAAAAAACTTGATTTCAATACTGAGAATATAACTAGTTGAGCCTATCTTGACTTTCTATAGTCCGCAAATATGACTTTAAACCATTTAATTTTATAACTTAAAAAAACAAAATACAAAAGATACGATAATATAAAAAAAATATAAAAGAATATTATGTTTATATAAAAACTACCTTTATATTCATCATCTTGATAAAATAAAAAATGAAAGAATATTACTTTATAATGTGTTTGAATCATACTTCTATATTATTTTTCACTATTTAAATTTTCAACTTAAAGAGGTTGTACTTCAAAGGTTTATATAGGGTCAGAATATTTAAATATATATTATATGGCTAAAAGACATAGACTTCAATTATAGCCTGGTAGAGCTCTTTTTTTTCGACCACAAGTACACATGTTTTGTTCTTGTTGACTTTTGATGAATATTATTGTCAAGAAGTTAGAGAAAACGATGTAGAGAGAATATTTGAAGAACTGGGAAATTGAAGGAATCTTATTTTCGAAATTGGGATTATTCGCAAATGAGGATAACCCAACCTATTTATAGGTATAGCCTAGTCACGCTAGCAGAAAAATAAAACTAACTATTTTAGTTAAAGCCACACTTAACAATTATTTTTCTTACTCACTCTCATAAAGTAACAAGTGTATCTTGAACTTGGGATATTGATGCCCTCTGGTTAGTTGCTGCCCAGGGCGGTCACCCTCGCCGGCCTGGCCTGTTTTCAAAAGTAAGTGCCTACTTTTAATTCTATCCTTAATTATGAGATGGAGAAAATCACTACTCCCTCTATTATTAAGGGTACATTTGGCAGTTTGTTGATTAAAAAGTGTAATAAGCACACATTTTTATAACTGTGTGCCTTTTTCATTGTGGATATTTATGTTCAGATGGAGGGATAAGTTCTTAATATGCTACTCTAAATTGATAACATAAATGAAAAATTGTGCATCTCTTTTGGAATTTCAAACAGAAACACGAAATGCTTAAATTCAATCAATTTGCAGAAACAAATGAAGTTTGCAAAATGATCACCCTTCTGGATTGTTAGATGTAACAAGGATTCTCTGTTCTTGTAATCTCTGTTTGTTTATGCCTTAACCTGTTTCAAACTCTAAGTGAACCTGTCAAAATTACAGCCTATATAATCTTAGTGGCATATTTTTGAATTATAATAGGGCAGGATTAAAGTTGGTTTACTTTATTGAAAAAATGTTTTTCACGTAAGTTTGAGAGCGCTTTTATGATGTTTCTGCATTTGAGCAGCATCTGAAGAAGTATTTTGTGACATAGTGATCTTAATTTGCTTGATTGTTCATCCATTTAAAAATTCTTTAGAAGAGGCGTGCTTCTTTAGCCGACTGGAGACGCCTACACATACTTTTAACAATAGTTCATGGACATCCACTAAATGTTGAACCAGCTTTTTGAGTTTTGACCAGATAGGATATATTTTTCCTCAGAACTTGGCATGTATACGGTGTATCAACAATGGGAACTTGTAGCTGCACTATTTTTATTCTCATAATAGGGTTATTTGAGTTGTAAAAGTCGCCAGAACTAGAGATTAGGGATTCTGATACAAAGACATTCATGACTCGAATTCTAAGTATTAAAACTGGTGGCCGTCTAAAAGCATGATTCTGATTCATTTAAGTTGAGGTTGTTTTGTTAACTTGCCAAGCTATATTTACTAGTCTTTTTGGTTGTGATAGATCCATTCCAATGACAAGCTGTTGCAGCTGAAAGAAGTTGTGAACTAAGGGATATGATGTAAAATTAGCACAATTTGCAACACAGCTTGAATTTCAGGAATATGCTAAGATTGTTACTAACTTAATGTGATGAATTTTGTATTCTTAGTTGAGGTTGATGCTTTGCAAGTCTTTATCTAAATGAATTTGGATGCACACTTCAGAGTCTGCCCTTATATGCATTTGTGAATGTATGTTTCATGTGTGTATTATACTGCTCTTGCTGGCTGGGGTACATGGAACACTTTGGTGCATAAAAAAGTGTAGTTGTCAAGCTTAAACCTCAATTAAGAGAATTGACTATACTAACACTCTGGTTAAGGACATAGAATGTTTAGAAAAATGCCAAGAATCCGGGCTGCCAGACATGGGAACTATATTTTACATTACGCTCTTACACTTCCAACGCAACTGCATTGCTCGCTCAGTTACTCTACATGCAGTAGGGAGTTTGATATTCTTCTAAACTTGTATCAATTTCTATCTCTTTTGGTAACTGGGGTTCAGGCTAGCTTATGGTATTACAATGACTAGGATTTAATAGGTGTCACCCAAGATGGATGTGGCATCACCGATCTTTGTTTTTCATAGATTATAGGCTGGCCTTGGTGGTACGAAGACTAATGTCAAATCGCTGATGACAGCGGTAGATGTAATGTCATTGGTCTTTGCCTTTCCTAATAATTTAGGCAAGGGAGCATGGGAGTGAGCTAAGCTTTAGGATGGGTATGGTGTTATGGCACACTGTCATTTTCAGTGTTACCTTTGTTGCTCTTTTGCTCAATTTACATGCATCAAGCTTCATCTAGCTTGGTGGGGGTGCAGTTTGGCACTTTGGCTGACAAGTTCTTCTAGCGGTGGACGTTGTGGAAATATTCTCAATTTGGTGATTCTCAATAGTTGGGGTATTTTTCTTCAGTCTCAAGGTGTGTTGTTTGTTAGGTGTTTCATACTGTCATTGTTATGCAACATATTTTCAGTATGGTAGAACTTTTTTGCAATTGATCATTTTCCAGATCATGCTTGCCATAAATGTTTTTGTGTGCTGTGTGGGGGTTATCAACACACATTTTTCCTACTACACTGTATACTTCTAATTTATATTTCACCTCCAGGATATTTCATTAGTTTTTTTATTACAACACTGATGGCAGGTTACACCTATTGCAAGTCTATTCAAGTTTCGAAGAGTGTTGTGCTCCCTACTAGTGCCTCTGGATGCAATTGCCAGGGTAGTTGCACTGACCCAAGAAACTGTGCTTGTGCTAGGCTTAATGGCTCTGACTTTCCTTATGTACATCGCGATGGTGGCAGGTGAAAAATAACTTGCAAAAGTACTTTAAAAAGAGTCCACTTAGTGTTCTTTCTTGATCATTCGTTGTTTGTTTGTTTACTAAATAAGTTTATGGTTCATTTGTACGTATCATGCGAGTGTCGACAGATGTTGAAACTTATCTTTCTTCTAACATTCCTTGCGACCTATCTACTTACAGAGATTTTACGTATCTTTAACAGATGCTTCTATTAAGATTGTATGATTCAAGCTTTGCAAGATTTGAAGACACATATCCATCAAAAGAAAAAGGGTTTTGCTACAGTCTGTTCATGATGTTACTTAAATTGTATTAATAGGTTTATGGGGATTTCCATAAAGGTTTTTGTTCCTTCTTTAGCGTTGATATAATGCTACTTTTTGTAATTATGGTTTTTGACCTCCACTTCTATTTTTTGCTTGACACCCAATGCCTATTTTCCAACCATTTGCACAAATTGCATTTGGTCACCACGAGTCATTATTTGAATGTTTTCGTTACATTCCTACAGTTCTGTTTTCTTCTGGTTTTCTTGTGATTTTGGTTGCTTCCCAAGTCTACCAACCTGGATTGATGTACTAATACATTATGGAGAACAACAGCTTTGTCTTCATTCTTCGTTAGCCAACTCTTTGATTATGGATTTTGTAACCACTAATAGTTATTTATCCTGCTGCTCTTTACTATCCAGGTTAATCGAGCCCAAGGCTGTTGTATTCGAATGTGGACCAAACTGTGGCTGTGGGTTGACGTGTGTCAACCGAACATCTCAAAGAGGGTTGAGATACCGACTTGAGGTAGTCTTAACCTTCTCAACTAAAATATCTGTCCACTGATGCAGTTTATTACATCTAGGTGTATATGTTTCTTCAAATGTTTTATGCTTAACTTGCTATTACTGTTAGGTTTTCCGGACTCCAAAGAAGGGCTGGGCAGTTCGATCTTGGGATTACATACCCTCTGGGGCGCCTGTTTGTGAGTACATAGGAATACTCAAGAAGACAGATGACGTTGACTCTAACCCAGAAAACAACTATATTTTTGACATTGACTGCCTTCAAACAATGAAGGGGATTGGTGGAAGAGAGGTACTATCAACTTCGGAAGTACAGAGAAACTGTGTATCTTTGCACATCCATGTGTCAATTTGTCACAAATTGTGGATTTATGGAGCAAAAAAAGAAAATATCATGCATAACTTTCACCATTACCAACATGTTTAGTACTCGTAAACTGGCTATAGTATGTGACAGCCTATTAACCACTATGCATGGGCTTCCATGACTTGGAATCTAAGCCATGACCTAAGAGGATTGCTTGTTTATTTGCATCCTTTTTTACTCGTTTTATGGTGATCAGGACACTTAAATTTGTTTTGGATATGTCAATTTCGTATTTGGAACCGTTTCTGAATTACAATTGGCTCATTACCTCTGCATTAATAATTTTGTTCTATTTGTAGTGTCCCATATTACATGTGACATTTCGTTTTTTTTTCTTTTCAAAATTTGAAACTTAAAATGACTAGTTTATGTTTGTGCAGTTACTCTTATTTCTTATAAAGGATTACCCCTATCAGTTAATCTGATGCAAATTGGTCCACCACAATCAGGCTTCAACTTAAATTCTAAAGATATGTGAATTTTTTTTCCATTTTCTTTATGTGATGTGGCTCGGTTTTGTTACATTTACTTTTTATTACAAGGGTATTTTGGGACCGTACAAACCATTTTTCTTTGTTTTAGTGCAAGACATTTCATGCAACTGATGATAGTATGAAAATTAATAATAGGCTTATTTTTTTAAGTAATTAGGATTGATTGTTATGTTCTGATTCAATTTGTCTTATGAACTCTATAGAGGCGGGTTGGGGAGGTAGCCATGCCATCATTACTGGATAAAGACGATGAAAAAGACAGTGGCCCAGAATTCTGCATTGATGCAGGTGGCACTGGAAATGTGGCGCGTTTCATCAATCATAGCTGTCAGCCAAATTTGTTTGTGCAATGTGTATTGAGTGTTCACCATGACATCACACAAGCACGAGTTATCCTGTTTGCTGCTGACAATATACCACCACTCAAGGTTTACTCCGCTCTCTCTGTACTTAGATGTATATATTTCCCTGCTCCTGTTTGGTTTTTTGTCTAGGTATATTATGTTGATTGTTAATGTTGCTACTTATTTTTTTATGATCTGACTTTCCTGATTTGTTATTTGGCCCTATATTATGTTTTTCTCCAGATGTCATTTTGTTGCATGCAACTTATATGGTCTCTCTGACTGAGATATAGTTAGCATAATGACAAGCAATCAGTCCTGTCTGTTAATATCACTACTTTTAGGGAATGCTAGAGTTAAACAAAAGATATGCAAGTAAAGGGATTATAAATATAATTCTCTTTCTTTATCTTTTTGTTTCGAATTTGGAATTTCTTTGTTCTCAACGCTTCCCAATTTCCAGGAATTAGTCGCTTCAACAGCCTGCGATTTGCATGTTTGATACCCGATTGCTGAAGTTCATGTATTTTGGCTGTGAATGTAGTAGCCTTGAAGGAGAGCAATTGCATTTATGCCGCAGGGCTAATGATTGAATGAGAGAATATACTTCTCGAATTTGCAGTGATTTAGACTTCAATTTAATATGAGAATGTGATCATGGATGACCTTAGAACGACATGCTTTAATGGCCAGTTATTGAGATAGGATAAAGCCACAACCAAAATAAGTTGTTAGGCATTGTAGATGCTTCTTCAAAGGAGTACATTGCATGTTACCTACACACCTTATCATATACCTTCTTAGATTAACAAAACATCATTTGCAGATCCTCTTCTCATCTCTCATATCACTCTATAGAACAATGTGATAAGAAACCTTACGTGGTTTATCCCTAACATAAAATGAAATTAATTATCTGATCATATAGTATTGTAGTGTGTGGCTTGTTAGCTTGACCCTCAATATACTCGAACAATGTTTAGTGCTCTGTAGATTTGGATAAAGGCACTGGTAGTTCATTGACACGACTTCATCATTTTGTTAAGGACAAACATCAAATAATCTAGCGGGTCATACTAAATCTACCTCCCCAATGACACGCCTACCTTCTTTAGTAAAGGGGGGAAATCGGTCCATGTTTTTAGAAAAGGGGTCAATTTGGGAAATTTTTTTGATTTTTGGAAGATATTTGTATATCAAACGGACCCAATGTGTAAAAATAAAAAATCTAGTTGAAAACATAACTGATTGTGGTTCTGAAAGAAGCCCAAATAGAAAACTTGAGCTTATTTCATCCTTTCACTCAAGTCATGATAGTTGTGAGAAATTTTCCAGCATGATTTTGTTGGATTGGTTGAATTAGTTGGTATTTGTGAGACAATTGGATTGTTTTAGCAAACTATCAGTCTAATGCCTACACTCATCTTTTACCAGAATCATGATTGTTTTTTCACAACTATTAAAAGATTGATGTTTAACTGAATGGTTGATTATGGGTTTGTTGTAGGAGCTGACATACGACTACGGTTATGAACTCAATAGCGTGCTGGGTCCAGATGGCAAGGTAAAGCAGCTTGCTTGCTTCTGTGGTGCACCAGATTGTCGGAAGCGCTTGTTTTAGGATCGTGTTGATAGTATTTTTGCGGAAGAAATTGCAAGTCTAGGTAATGCGCGGCTAGGTTAGCCATAAACCGGTCCGACAAACTCTAGGAAAGTAGTCATGGGGTTGGCAGGTGGCACCTTTATCCTATTAAAAATATTATATTAGCGTTCTTTAGCTGGTTGTATGTGGTGGTTGATTGTTCTAGGGAACTGGTGATTTCAGCCGGCAATGTCAATGAACGTTGAATGATTGATATAAACCTAACCAAACCAATTTAGAGAATCCTAAAGAGGTTTGTGGTTATCTTCCCAGTAATTAGTTTGCCAAAATAATCGGAACCCAAGACACGTCTAAATTGTGAGATGCCATTTTTTTAATCAAAAAGAACAAATATTTTTAAGAACGGAAAAAAGAAAGAACCTTTGCTCTCTATTTTGGTTTTATTTTTTGCTATTAAATGTATTATGCCTTTGACACTCGGTTTCTTTACCCCGTAACGTATGTTTAAATTAACATCTTGACACTTGCAAATGCCTTTGCTTTGTGGTTGCAAGTAGTAATGGACAAAAAGAGCCTGGGAGTTGTGTATAATGTTTGGGAAGTGTTTAAT